TGCGCTTTGCGCGCCAATTTTCGTACGTGCGTTAATCAAGCCGAATAGTTTGGCCGAATATTCGGCTATTCGGCCACGCTCCTGGCCGAATATTCGGTATTCGGCCTGAGGCCGAATATACTATTCGTTGCAACACTAGTAAAGAGATAAATAGGAGACGTTCGTCACATTTATAGTTGGATCACACTTAAAAAAAGGAAAATCCTTCATTCCGTAAGCTTCACTAAATACAGCAAATGAGTCGGTCGAAATTACGTACTTATGTAAATCTTCCTTCCTGATTAACTTTCGCTTTATATAACTATTTTGTATAAAAGAGAAATGTTCTTGTTCTACTCTCTCTATGGCTCTCGACGCTTCTATAAAGTTGTCTTTTCGTATAATGTTATTTCGTAGTATTTCAGCTGTCTTTAATTTGGAAATCTGACAAGACGATTACTAAATTATGATGTGAAAATATACATTATTTATTTATTACATTATACTTATAAACAATAGCTCTACTCACGAAAATAGAAAGCAATAAAGCACCTTTTCCGAGTGTTCCACAGGAATATTCCCCTTTAATGGCGAAAGCTGCTAATTCATCGAATGTTTTTGGAACAGGTTTAGGTAAGGGATACGTCATGAATGACATTAAAGTCCCGCTATAACTAGACACTAGAAGANGAAAATAGAAAGCAATAAAGCACCTTTTCCGAGTGTTCCACAGGAATATTCCCCTTTAATGGCGAAAGCTGCTAATTCATCGAATGTTTTTGGAACAGGTTTAGGTAAGGGATACGTCATGAATGACATTAAAGTCCCGCTATAACTAGACACTAGAACGAGGATAGACAACCACCATATTCCTATTAGAAATCTAGATCTGAATTTCTTTATTGAATTCAAATTCATTCCTGGAAATCCAAAATTTAATTTAAACAGTAATGGTAATATTGTCTGAAGGTAATGTATGATGTTACCCTTATACAAGAAAGTGCAAAATAAATTCCAGAAGACTTTATATCTTGGCCAATATACTTGAATATCTTCTGCAGTTAAATCTCTTTCTATTACTTTGTGCAAAACTAATCCGAATATAATCACGGTGACAATTATAAATATCCATATCTAAAATATATAAATATTGTAATTATTGTCAAATTATTAGTTTTTAGACAAAAATGTCTTACCGTAAATGAGAACGGAGCTACGATAGATTTCCAGTTTGAGATCATTTCTGGAGCTTTAACAATAAAAACGGTTGATTGAAATGCTATTGCTGTAGTAAATTCCAGAGCAGAATAACGATCGAAAGTAATATATATTGGAACAATTGCCATATCTGCTTCCTAGTCTCAGAAAAATAAGTTAATTATATTTGTCATTTTCAGATAATAGAATTATCTGAAGTCGTAAAAGAGTACAGTATATTGAACGCAGGTGCGGTGATGTCTTTCACGAATCCAGATATATTTATTAGCTAATATTAATCAATAATATTTATATACAAATATACTTGATGTTGATCCAGAATATCTTTAATTGAAGCTTAAAACTACTGTATTTACAAAAATTAATCATTTTCGAGTCTTTCTTGTATCCTTTTACACAACCATAGAAGGAAGAGTTAAACGGCTTGAAGATAAGACTTCACTAATTTGACAAACAAAAGTTAATTAAAATTCACACAAAGTTTAAAATTGATATCAAACGTCGACTATTTATTAGAGGATACGACGTTTTTTACATTAAAAACAAAGGTTACATTTTCTCACAATATGTCTATCATGTTCTTCGCCTTTTTGAATAAGCAAAGCTATCACTAGGGCAAGAAAGAGTCATTTAAAAAGGCTAAGGACCCTTTTAAATGACTGTAAATAGTATAGTTCATATGTTACTTCAAATAGGTTACTTCAATAATATTTATTAGTTTTCAGATTATTTATTAATATGCTACTTATACAGAGGTTGGACAAAATAAATCGAACACCCTTTGTTGTGCACAGTCAAACTGAACGTTTCCTAACACATGTGCAAATTCAGAAAGCGCCCTGTTTTCTTTATTTACGTTGCTTATATCGCTATACGTAAAATTCATTACTTTTTGTGTTGAAAATGTATTTGCCAATTTTTGGGGTGCGAGTATTAAAAACCTAACAGACTTCAAAAAAAAAAAAAAAAAAATATGATCGTTGGTGCATGGGTATTAGTGTTTGTGAGAACCTCCTATTTGTTACTGAATAGAGGTAATACTGGTATGAATGGCAGGGCTGGAATAGCGAAAACTTTGTTCACACTCCTAAATATCAAACAGCGTGTATATTATTAAATATCAAACAGCAGTATTGCAGAGTATAAAACATAGTTACCATAGACTTGGAAATATATAATCTGGTGAGATAAATCAAGTTTTACTGTGTTTCTCATTTCCAGCGGTGTTTATGTCTGGAGATAATAAACAAAAAGTAATTTTTTGTTATTGTTCGGATTATTTTGTCTCATTCCTGTGTTTTCCTTCTGTTTGTTTTGATTTTCTAAATATATCCAAATTTTACTATTAAAAATTTTATTCATGTTTGGCATAGCAATTAATTTTTCTATGTAAATTGTGCCAATATTATATTGATCTCCGTGTACAACTTATATTACACACTTTAATTCCTTAAAGTATTTTCAGAATTAAAATTGCCTTTAGAAAAAATAAACAGCGCGGGGTTTAATCTAAATATGAACGTTATAACCTTGTTTATCACTTATTTTAATTGGGATGTAAACCTATCAGTGCAATAGAAATGTGATTTTCTATAACTTTTACTGATGACCACATGAAAACATCACTCAATACTGGTGGCAGGTCATAGAGATGTGTCTGACAGCATGCTTATGCATGCAATTTGCTGAGTTTTGTCACGTATCTTAATTTTAAATACTGGCTAATTCCTTATAGAAACTTTTTGCAGGTCAATTCAAAATAAATGAAATCAGATAACACTGAATTTTCCAGAGTATTTGAAACAAATTTACTGTCCAAAAATATACGGTTTATCTAAACAGAGAGTAACGAGTTTAGAGAAGTATTGTTATACAGATTTTTGATCAAGGCATTGTTTGACAACAATATGTGCCTAGTTGGTATAAACAAGGCACATGTAAATACCAATGTCTTAACAACACTGATTTCGAAGCTACTACCAATCAAATTACACGAATTTACTAGACATAAGTCTATTATTATTAAGAAAATTTTTACAATAGAATTTAAACATAATTTACTTTAATTCTGATAAACCTTTACCTTATATTTACTTTTTATAATAAACAAGCGTGGTTGTTTCTTGTATAGTAACCATAGTTAATTATACTAAGCATAATATCAGATCGCTTTTCTGTTACATTCTCTTACTTTATTAAATCGGCTTCTTTTTAATCTAATTGCAGAATTAATTAATAATATATCAGCAAATTTTTTCTGAAATACAAATGGTTTTCTTGATATTATACTGATAAATAATAAAAGTTGCATCGTGTAAAGTAATAAATAATAACAAATTGTTTATAAATGCGTAAATAAGTTTTATTTAATATAATTCGACCAAAAATAAAATNTAAACACGTGAAGAAAACCGTTAAATCACACTGGCTAACTCATTGATTAAGTGCACACCTGTGAATAATTAGCTGTGTTTAGTAGTTTTAGCCATTCGGCCACTGATCGGCGCACTAAAATAATGTATAAAAACCCATCTTAATTACTCTGTCAGTGATATTGCGTGACTATTCGCCCCATAATTGGTATGATTGTTTGATCATAAGTTCGACAAGACCCACAACTCGAGTGATCGAGTAGGGAAGAAGCGGGACTTCCATATCAGGATTAAAACGCCCATGAACAAAAATTAAATTTTTTTAACTCTTTTTGTCCTGTGGGCACTGAGAAGGTCTCTTTTAGCAAGCCTATTACGGTGAGGACATAGTCCCGGCAAAGATCAACAGACTCAGCACCAACTCTAACCAATCATAGATTCTCCAGGTCCGGAAAAAAAAACACGGGGCAAAATATCCATCGTAGCTGACGACTAACCATCCCTCCAGGAAACGGACAAGCAAGCAAAGCTCGCATCAATAAACTTTTTATATTTTTAAATATTATAAAGTGGAAAAACAACTTGATTTTGAGGGTAAAGATAGGTTTTTATAAAAAAAATGTAAATGCTAATAACGAATAAAACCACCACTAAGTCGGACCCTCTATCTTCCTACCCCGTCTACCTTTAATCACAAACATTTAATAACATCTATCCCCTAATACATGAACCTCCCTGCAAAACATTAAAAATTTTCGACAAATAGCACAGGAGTTATTAAACTTCAGAAAGAGTAAAGAAAATCATGTCCCACACACACACTAATATCCATAAATACGAGGCAGATGTTGATCCACTAGCACACTGACACACTAATCGTCTGCAGTTGGAGTTTAGTCCTTTTCGCCCCCCCCAGGCCTACGTCCCCTTACCGCCGACAAGCTTGCTATCGCTCGCGGTCAGCTAGTACTACGCGCCACTTTCGCGGCTTGTTTGACAAACCTAACCTATCCCTCCAAGAGATCACTACAGAGAATGACTGTCACCAAGCGGTGGCGAAAAACTCTGAAAATGCGTGAATGCCCTGTGAAACACAAAAAATTATAAATATGATAACTTTCTTATTTTTCGTCTCCGGTCCAAAAGTAGGGGTACCGTTGAACTCGTCTCGATCCCGTGAGTTCAAATATATACTCAAAGTCCCGAAATTCCATATGTGGTAATCTATAGTACGACCGTATTTTGTTACGTAATGAATGACATGCTTGTTATTTAGAAACCTTTTATTTAACAAATCCATAATTAATTCATTGCTTTCAACACAAGCTTATGCAAATTTGTTACGTGTTTATCGGTAATTTCTTAACACGTGTTTGTGAAAAAGATATTTGAATAATATTAAGAAAAACATAGTTTTATTTAATTCGCCTTTATTACTTTAAGTAAAGAGAAATACAGTATATATAAAAACGATTAGACTATATAATAAAACAAATAATCCTTCCTCTTATGATATTACATTAGTACATCTTAATTCATAAGAGTTTCAAATTCACCACCTGTTTAATTAATTACAATACAGTGTTTAAAGGAAAAATATTATTTATCATAACATCAAGTAAAAAGCAAAGAAAATAATAATCAATTTATTTTGATCAGAAAATTCGCCCTCCTAACGCTTCTTTACTGTGATTTCTCATGCAGTAAATTACTACGATTTGTTTTCTTCAAATATGAATCTCGAAAGAAGCGACAAAATAACCAAGCGTACGAAAAATACATGCAATTAAACAACAACAGAGATGTGTTGGTCTGTTCGCAATATTTCCCGCTGTAATACATGTATGTGGCTGATAAAGTAAGGAAACAGCCCATAAACATCTGTGAAATTTGAATTATGGTAATTGTCATGGCAATAAACACAGGTACTTTGATTTTCATCGCCTTCATAGCGTAATAAGAATACATTAAGCTGTGTACAAAAATGTTCATCGTCATACACCAATATGTAGTGGAGGCTTCATTGGAATTGAAATACCATACATAAATCAGAGTTGCAGCATGATGATACCAATGCAAAAATATCAGCTTTTGTTTACGAAGGACAAGAAATATTGTATCTCCGAATTCAATAAGTTTTGACCATGTAAATACAGATAACCAGAATGCAAGCGGGTGATATTTTAATGCAAAGCTCATGTTGCACACGGAGAACATAAATCCGAACTCTCGAATTGAAATCCACATCCCTGGAAGCAATCTTAAAGTGCCACAAATACTGAATGCCGCCAGTAGTATATTCCAGATGACAAGAGGCCAACGAAGCTGAAACGGAGGCCTGGACTTCATGTAATTTTGCAAAGAAAAGATAATTATTACGTATGCCAGTGACATAGGAATAGTGTAAGGAAAGAAACTCTGAGTCCATTTATTATCAACGTATTGATGTAAATATTCTTCTATATAAAGCGATTTCAATTCCCCTCTTTGTGTAGAATAATTTTCGATCGTCTCCATATTTTACTGAAAAAAATAGAAATAATGCATAATTATTTACAGTTTAATTTAATCTGTGCATATGAATTATTTATAAATAAAGCATATGTGTTTACATAATCTCCTAAATTTTTGTCGGGGATGGTCCGACCAGATATTCCGTCTTCCTTCTCTCATCACCTCTGCCACCCCATGCTGGATCTGGCCGAACCCATAATGGGCTTGCTCAAACAGCCCCTCTTAGTCAAGTGTTATAACGTACGTATTTTATTATTATAATCTGTTTGACTGAGTTGAACACACAGATATCTGCCAAAAGAGATTTTTTGAGATAAGAGTTTATATGGGAAACAGGTTTACTGATCTCAAATATATGACAGACGCGTTATTCTCGAAATAATTTTACGTATAACATAGGTCGTACAGGGGCGAAGGTTTTTACTCTAGTCGAGTCTCGGCCTTACGATGCAATTTCACTCCATGTCAGATATGTGATTTGCAAACGTCTCTATTGTCGCGTGTTGCTCTATTCGTGTGCGAGACTGATTTTTGAATGTTTGCTTAAAACACGATCACATTGGCCATGTTGTAAAATTGCCTGGCTTGGCCATGCGATGTGCCATGCTCTTCTGACTGGACCATGTTTATTCGTGTGCATGCTCAAATGAGTAATCGCCTTAAAAATAATAATTTTAAAACAATTAATATGCGTAAATTCTAATAAAAAATATCAAGTTACGTAAATATTTTGAATTTTAGATATAGTAAAACTTTTCCTCCTAGATTGTTCGTGTTTCTGATTGTACAGTAGATAAAACTTCACGTATGTTTTCCATGAATCAGATAATTCAAGGTTTATTAGTAAAATGCACACTTTTTAATAAATACATTTTATTTCCTGATTATTTATTGTGAATCATCTACAGTAGACCCCCTTAACACTGCAGATAATTCCGTGTTATATGAATTCCATGTTGTACGAGTCACTTAGATTTTACAAATACGTGAGCCGTTCACAGCCCGGCACACGTGTTTGTAAAATCTAAGTAACTCGTACAAGATGGAATTCATAAAAAACGGAATAATCTAGTGTTATAGGTGGGTCTACTGTATATGACTTTTAATTTTAATTGAAAGAACTGTTGTTTCCTTAAAGTATTTACATTTTAAACTAGTAAACTTTGTGAACTAATTCTAAAACTATAAATTAAATATAAATATTTGCATATGTAAATATTAATGTTTAATTTATGTAAATGTAAAATTATATAACTAAATGTAAATTAAACATAAATACAGGGTGGTTATAATTAAAGTTACGCTACTTAGACCTGTCTACAGCCCGTTCTCGTGGACACATTTTTATGAAACTTGGTATTTATCTTATACGGACCATAGGGAAAAGGAAAATGCAAATAAACATTTAGTTCAAATTTTTACCACTAGGTGAAGAAATGGCGCATAAAGAAGAAGAAACCCGAAATGGAAACACGCAAATGGCTTTTATTCACATTTGTTCAATGTGCAATCCATTAATTATTTAAATAAATAAAATTAGAATCTGTTCACACGTAAAAATCTTTAAATATAAATAATATAAAAGGAAAGATTTATATAAATTTTATCTGAATCTGAATAATGTTTCGTGCATAAGGAAAGTACATTATAATGACATTTATTCATCCTCTTATCTATAAACAATACAATAGATGAAGGTAAGCATCATTATATTTAAACTTATTTTTTAAACTTTAACAATATTTAAGTAAATATATTATTTTTTTAGAACGATAACTTAATAGAATCTTGTGAAAATAAATTTATAAGATGCTATTGAACAATTCTGCCGTTATAAATTATTATTGTTTACGTTAATTGTAACTTCCTTTCTGGTAATAAATTACTGTATATTCTGTGTTAATTGCGAGGGTCTAAAGAAGGCAATTAATTAATTAGATTAAATTATTTAAACTAATACGCATTTAATAAATAAGTGGAAAAACCCTACTTTCTTTTCCCCATCACTCGCGATACTCAAATAGATAAATCTAGTCAACAGTCACTAGGATGTTTGGACTTATGTTACAACCTTAATCATGACAGTCGATTATTAATGAATAGAAACTGTCATAAGTATGAAATTATGAGGTAAAGGGAGTCACTAAAACGGCTAAAAAATAGCAATAATTTTCCCGAATCGTCCGGTTCTTCACAGCCCGTATCCATCGACAAAACGATGGACACGGAACCGATTCACTCTATCGATTTATCCGCAACTTCCCTACTTAATTATTCGAAAAAACTCTTATTAAACCATCCAGTGTTACCCAGTGAGCGGCTCTTGCGACTCGACAGCTAGAAGGCTAACCCTCAATTGTATTCTCACATAATTATAACAAGTTGGCGAAGGAAGTAAGAGTATCAATATTATCTTTAATTATAACTATTTTTATTAACAAAAATTTCTGTTTACATATCAAGATTGCAGGTTTAAATTAAAAATAAAACAATTATAAAATAAAATAAAATATGATAAAGTTTTACCTGTAAACAGAAAATCAGACTGTCTTATTCCGATGAGAAAACAATAATAATATTTTTACAATTACAATTATTGATAATATCTCAAGGGAAATAATGAAACGTAGTGTATTGGGTAAACCTGTTTTCTCAATAATAATTGTCTTACCACTACAAATTTTTTAGAAATAATTTTAAAAATTAATAATTTCGTTTTATAATTATAGATGATTTCGCTCATTAAATGTCCTAGTGAATGTTGTTTACTTAATAATCTTCACTAGGATGGAGAATGCGTTTAAGAAATTCAAGTTTAGTTCGAGAAGAATTTCAATTATTTAATACTACATAGAAATGGGCAATAAAATGTACAGCATTTCGACATGACGTTGTACAAAGTATAATGCAAACTTTATACATGTAATAGATTAAAATCGTAAATCGGAGTCTACACTGACTTTCCAGATTATAAAAATACTAAAAAATAAGCTTGTTATATATAAAATTAGTCACACTAGTCTACTATACAAATTAAGTAAGAAATTGTGTAATAATTTATGTACTTACAATTATAAAAAATTTTTAATTTTGATATACAGTATTTATAAGTTGTGGAGTGTATAAAATCGCTTTTTCTTTTTACTATTTCGTCCCGTAAACACAGAAAAGATGTTTTATAAAGCAATTCTTCTTTTCTTGCCACATAACCTATTCTATAGATTCATACAAAAATATACGGGGCAGTGGGTAGTGAGGAGCAAAGATAATACATCTAAAACAAAACACCAAAATTTTCTGGGGTTTATTAACACGTTCTTCTTCATCTGGGTTCCTCACGGTGGTACAATAAGCCCAATAGACTCATTGTCTGAGTCATTTGGCCTGCTTGTTAAAAGTACCAAACACAGGTCACGGGTTCGTGCCTTAGTAACGGTAGCGTAGTGCAGTATTCAGGTATTTTTTTACGCCTACACGATTTATCTCTTCCTAAATTGGAGCCAGTTTTCTATTTTTTACAAATTTTTCTCGGGAGTAATACCGTATCGGCGGATTTCTCTTGTTGCCAAAAAGTATAACTCGTCAATCTACTTGAATTTAATATTTATACGAATTATACGAATCTAAAAAGACTAATTAAGCAATGGAAATATACGCATAAGAAATTTCGATTATACAAATTAATTATCTATGTATTAGTCAAAATTAATAATTTAATTTACTCAAATTATTACAGATTCGATACTATCGAGTGCTACTAAAAGTAAAGTATTATTTGAATATTAAAATGCGAATAGAAATTAAATAATGGTACCTGAAAGGTTGATTGTCGAAGGAGAAGTGGAAGATTTGACTTATAAATATTTGTTTTAAGTTTTTCCTGTAATTTATCTACTTTCTGAGAAAGGAAAAATAAACAGGTTTCTATTCAACTGGTTTATTTTATACAGTAATTGATATTTTACTTGGGAATTCTAAATTTAATGATCGGTGAAAGTTTTCCTTTCGCTTTCAATATAAATATTATTCATATCTCATATAAGGTTTAAGGTTATTATTTTCTAATCGAATATTAAAGAAAGTTCAAATTTTAAACAATAATTAATTTACTTTATATAACTTGAGAAAAAGTGTATTATCCTATTAGAAAAATAAAAGATAAATCTATATTTTTAAAATTATTCTAAGAACACATCTGCTTATTGCATTTAAAATTATTTAGATTTTGTAACATACTAGTGAAAAGTGCAGTTGTTAAGCTAACAAAATAGTAATCGATTTATTGTAATAAAAAAATTTTCCTCCTAACGCTTTTCTTACTGATATTTCTCATACAGTAAATTACTACGATTTGTTGTCTTGTAATATAAATCTCGAAAGAAGCGACAAAACAACCAAACAATGAAGCATGTAAATGAATCAACAACAAAAGACTCATGATGGTCTGCTCGCAATATTTTCTGCTATAACATGTATGCCGCTAACAAATTAACAAAACAACCCATAAACATTTGGTCAATTTGCATTGTAGTAATGGTCATTGCAATAAACACAGGTACTTTGACCTTTATCGCAGTCACAGCGTAATAAGTATACTTAAAGCTGTGTACAAACATGTTCATTGTAGCGAACCAATACAGAGTAGACGCTTCGGTGGAATTGACATACCATGTAATAATCAGAGCTAAACAGTGATGATACAATGCAAAAACATTAGCTTCCGTTTACGAAGGACAATAAATAATGTATCACCGAATTCAATACGTTTTGACCATGTAAATAACGATAACCAGAATGCAAGCAGGTAATATTTTAATGCAAAAGCTGATGTTGCACACGGAGAACGTAAATCTGAATTCTAGAATTGACATCCACAATCCTGGAAGCAACCTTAATGTGCCGCAAATACTGAATGCCGCGAGTAGTATATTCTAGACGACAAGAGACCAACGAAGCTGAAACGGAGGCCTGGACTTCATATAATTTTGCAAAGAAAAGATAATTTTTACGTTTGCAAGCGATATAGGAACAGTGTAAGGTAAAAAAACTCTGTGTCCAATCATTGTCTACGTATTGATGTAAATATTTCTATATATAAAGCGATACATATTCTCCTCTTCGTGTAAAAGTTTCGACTGTTTTCATGTTATTCTGAAAAAGCAATATTTCTAATTAAAGACATAATTATTTATGGTTTAATCTGTGCGTACGAAATATTTATATATATAGAATATATCTTTCCTAATGTTTTATTGGCTACATAAAACATGTAGTCATGTTTTGGCTTTCTACCATTATTTTAATTAACCAAATTATAATATCATAATTGAATTACTTTTCAGTTATCTTTTTGAATTCACAAATAATCATCTATAATATTAAATTTAATGCAACGAAAATTTCAAAACCTTTATTACAAGAATGTTTTTAAATATAAATTAAATAGCCAAATTATATTTATTTGTATGTTTTTTTTTGTTAGGATAATTAACATATTTTCAAGTTATATAAAGTTTCAAATTACATAATATAGAACAGTGTTTCGCAACAGTGATTTAAATTCTCCTCTTCGTGTGGAATTTTCGGCCATTTTCATGATATTCTGAACTATAAAAAAATATGCATAATAATTTAGTTAGTTTAATGTGTTCATATTACATATTTATATATAAAATTTATTTGTTGACATTGTTATTTTATTCGTGTAAGTATATTTCATACTTTAATCTTGACTACAGTACTTATAAGAAAATGTTATTCTGAATTATATTGATTGTAAAATTTATATATATTTATATAATATTTTATATAGAAATATCGGATTGAAAGAAAAAAACGCAATACATGGGATATCTGCCAAAAGGGAAGCTTNTACTGGTTTGAAGGGAAAGAAAAAGCAACACATGGGATATCCGCCAAAAGGAAAGCTTTCCTGGAAGAGTTTCTATGGGAAACTAATTTATTGATCTTATATATGTGATAAACATTTTATTTTCGTCAGTACATATGGATAATTTGAAAATGTGATTTTTACGTTTATATTTGAATACGCATTCGAATAAAGCGAGGGGAGGCCTCCTGTAATGCGTTATTCGATCTTAGAATGCAATATAGATATCCCCACATGTTGAATATTTATGTAAACGACGACAATGTTCTATTGAAGGTTTAAAATTTAAAAAAATAATTTATTTAAGTGTTGATTATTTAAGTGTTTTCTGACGATTTATTTTAAAAGAGATTTTTATAAAATTTATATGAATGTGATGATTCACGCCTAAACATTTAATTGTGAAAGAACAACTTATTTAAAGATTTTTGCTTGAGTAAACAAAATTTTTATGACATATATTTATTGTTTTTTTTTATAAGTAATGTAGTAGAAGAAGATAAGCATCATTACATCTTAACTTACTTTTTATGGCTAAATAATACTTAAGTAAATGTTTATATTACAACAACCATTTAGAATAGTAACCGAATGCTCATGAAATTTGAAAAAAAGATACTGAAAAGTTTAATATATTTGCTATAAATTATTTTGCCATTAGAAATGATTTATTATTATCGTGTTTTAATACTATTGCACTTACTTTTGTCTAATAAACAATTTACAAACGTAAGGACAGAATATAAGTAAGCGAGTATTCAATAAAAGGTTTTTGTAGATCTTAATGCATTCACAATGAGGTACTGTAAAAACCACCGAACACTGGTCACGAGTTAGTGACTGACACATGCCACGTGGAATTTGCTGGATATACTTACCTGTATGACACATATATCGAAACCACCGAAGTGTGTATACTGTAAGTGGTAAACCTCTATTGTTAATTTGGTCGATCGTTGATAATAACGCCCTCTAGTAACGATTGTGTACACTGGCTTATTGCCAGGTTATGCCACGTGTTATACCGACATTATTAGTTACATTGAAAAGAACCTTTTCTTTACAAGAAGTTTTTACTTTTCTCGCTCTGTTATATAAAAGACGGTAAGTATGGCAAAATGTGCTGGCAGCATCGCATGGGGAGCCCAAACTTTTTGTTCGCATGCATTTAAGAGACTGTAGCCACGTTTTTCTACGTTACGATACTGTACGCGCCCCACTACGCCCTCCCTACGATGGACCATTCCCCGTAGTGGAAAAGGGAGACAAATTCTTCAAAATTATAAAAAATAGTAAAGAAGTGGTCGTCTTTATCGACAGACTGAAACCTGCCTTTATGATCATGGAGAAAGACTCAATCAGTCCTGCACAGTTTGTGATAGACCAACCCAGCAACAAGATGACTGGGCATACTCACCAACCAGAACCCACATACGAGACGAAGACCTCACGACATGGCCGCAAAATCAAACCCCCAGCGAGATTCATCGATCGCAGTCGCTAGGAGGGGGGTACTGCGGCGACAAATCACGGACTGGTGAAATGGCGCCACTCCTCTAGGAGTTTCCCGTGAATCCCGGATTGAAAAACGGGGACAAGGGTTTTTCCCGGATGGGATTCTGAGTATTGTTGCTTTTTCTTGTTGGGTGATCGCTGCCATGAGCACGTGTAGCGCTCTCTCTCTAGTGTACACGTGAGATTGTTGTAAATAAATGTTGTTTTAGTTTAAAACGTGGTCGTGGACTTAAGTAATTCATGTTTACCTCCTTCTGATAAAGACAGTCTTTGTGGAGATGGAAATGGATAGAGAAAGATGGCCAGGTTTCGTCTAACCAATGGCGGCCATCCATTACCTCCAAAACCATTAGCGAGTGCCTAGCACTATGCCCACTCTCAGCATATATTCATGTCTTGACAGATTTATTCAGCGCTATGGCAGGATTTACACCTTCTAAGTGTCAATGTTAGATATTCATACTCCCATGTGACCTTCCATGTGCGACATAGTCCCAGGGAAAATCAACGGACTCATAACCAACTCCAACCAATCATAAATTCCCCAGGTCCGAAAAAAACGAAAACACATGTGAAAATAACCTTCTTAGCTGACGACTAACCATTCCTCCAGGAAACAGCAAAGCAAGCAAGCTCGCATTAATAAACTTTTTATATTTTTAATTATTTTATATTTAATATTTTATATTTTTAATTATTATAAAGTGGCAAAACAACTTAATTTTGAGGGTTGAGACGGACGTACGATCCCCCTCTATTTCCCACCTCGTCTAACTTTAACCACCAAAATTTAATAACATCTATCCCCTAATACACAAACCTCCCTGCAAAACATAAAAAAATTTCGACAAATAGCACAGGAGTTATTAAACTTCAAAGAAGATAAAAAAAATCGTGCCCCCCACACACTAACATTCATAAATACGAGGAAGATGTTGTTCCATGAGCACACTGACTGTCTGCAGTTAGCGTTATGTCCTTTTCGCACATCCCCACTCCTCGACCTCGGGGCCTACGGCCCATCAGCCGCCGACATGCTCGCTATTGCTCGCGGTCGACTAGTATTACGCGCAACTTTCGCGGCTTGTTCGACAAACCTAACCTATCCCACCGGGAGATGACTGTCACCAAGCGGTGACAGAAAAATCTGAAATTGTGTGGAATGCCCTGTGAAAGGCAAGAATTTATAAATATGATAACTTTCTTATTTTTGTCTCCGGTCCAAAAGTAGGGGTACCGTTGAACTCGTCTCGATCGCCCGAGTTCAAATATATACTCAAAGTCCCGAAATTCCATAGGTGGTAATTTATAGTACAGCCGTATTTTGTTACGTATTAAATGACATGCTTGTTATTTAGAAACCTTTTATTTAACAAATCCATAATTAATTCATTGCTTTCAACACAAGCTTATGCAAATTTGTTACGTAATTTATCGGTAATTTCGACGTGTTTCTGAAAAAGTTATTTTAATAATATTAAGAAAAGCATAGTTTTATTTAATTCGCCTTTATTACTTTAAGTAAAGAGAAATACAGTATATATAAAAACGATTAGATTATATAATAAAACAAATAATCCTTCCTCTTATGATATTACATTAGTACATCTTAATTCATAAGAGTTTCAAATTCACCACCTGTTTAATTAATTACAATACAGTGTTTAAGGGTAAAATATTATTTATCATAACATCAAGTAAGAAGCAAAGAAAATAATAATCAATTTATTTTGATCAGAAAATTCGCCCTCCTAACGCTTCTTTACTGTGATTTCTCATACAGTAAATTACTACGATTTGTTTTCTTCAAATATGAATCTCGAAAGAAGCGACAAAATAACCAAGCATACGACAAATATATGCAATTTGACAACAACAGAGATGTGTTGGTCTGTTCGCAATATTTCCCGCTATAATACATATAGGTGGCTGAGAAAGTAAGAAAACAGCCCATAAACATCTGTGCGATTTGAATTGTAGTAATTGTCATGGCAATAAACAGTGGTACTTTGATTTTCATCGCCTTCATAGCGTAATAAGAATACATTAAGCTGTGTACAAAAATGTTTATCGTCATACACCAATAAGCAGTGGACACTTCATTGAAATTAAGATACCATGCGAAAATGAGAGTTGCAGCATGATGATACCAATGCAAAAATATCAGCTTTTGTTTACGAAGGACAAGAAATATTGTATCTCCGAATTCAATAAGTTTTGACCATGTAAATACAGATAACCAGAATGGAAGCGGATGATGATTTAATGCAAAGCTGATGTTGCACACGGAGAACATAAATCCGAACTCTCGAATTGAAATCCACATCCCTGGAAGCAATCTTAAAGTGCCACAAATACTGAATGCCGCCAGTAGTATATTCCAGATGACAAGAGGCCAACGAAGCTGAAACGGAGGCCTGGACTTCATATAATTTTGCAAAGAAAAGATAATTATTACGTATGCCAGTGACATAGGAATAGTGTAAGGAAAGAAACTCTGAGTCCATTTATTATCAACGTATTGATGTAAATATTCTTCTATATAAAGCAATTTCAATTCTCCTCTTTGTGTAGAATAATTTTCGATCGTCTCCATATTTTGCTGAAAAAATAGAAATAATGCATAATTATTTACAGTTTAATTTAATTCGCGCATATGAATTATTTATAAATAAAGCATATCTGTTCACATAATCCCCTAAATTTTTGTCGAGGATGGTCCAACCGGATATTCCGTCTTCCTTCTCTCATCACCTCTGCCACCCCATGGTGGATCTGGCCGAACCCATAATGGGCTTGCTCAAACAGCCTNACATAGCCAAAGATTGAAGCGCCACAGCAGCGGCGAAAATTTAAATTTGCCGACTGGAATTCTTTCGGATGATTGACGTTTCGGATGATTAACTTTCGGAAAATCGACGCTCTACTGTATATATTGAATACATTGTCTTTCCAACTTTTGTATAAAAATACAGTAAGTTACCTTAACAGAGGTATGTGTTAGGTCGCGGATTCGACCTCATTAACTTGCCTGCCAAGTAAAGTTTTCCGGTTTTCTTTACGTGTCTCACTTGTAAAGTGAAGGCAGTTTTCATAGGAAGTTATCTCTAACGTCATACCTCTTTGTCAGATCGCCCGTATTGCATAGTAATGCCTTCGATCTGCCAAAGAGTTAGTACAATTCTCAGTAGGATATAGAAATATTTAAAAATTTTCGAATATAATTATTAACCATCTGTATATTATTTAAAAGTAATAGTTCAATCTATGCAAATTATTATACAAACGATATTATTGGACACCGTAAAGTATTAATTGGTTCTAAGATATAAAAGAATTGATAAGATTTATAGTTAGGAGAAGAATAAATTATTATTTGAGTACTAAAATATAGAAAATAATTAATAAATAAATCATCGGGTTTATGAGAATTCCATAAATAATACTATATTTTTTTAGCATTCAGTATTATCGAATCTACAATAATTTGCATAAATTAAATTTATTAAACTCATTTCTAAAATAATTTTGTAGTGGTAAGAGAATTATTATCAAGAAAACAGGTTTATCCAATACACTACGTTTAATTATTTTCCTTAAGATATTATCAATAATTATAATTGTAAAAGTATTATTTTTCTTTCCTCTTAGGAATAATACAGTCTGAAATTCTGATCACAAAAAACTTAATCTCTTCACTTTCACTGCACTTATAGAGGTATAATGATAGATTTAGCAAAGCACGAAGCCACTTTGCCAAAAAGGCAAGTATCCTGGAGAACGTTCTATAACGAAATAGGTGGTAAACACGTGAAGAAAACCGTTAAATCGCACCTGTCAAACTCATTGATTAAGTGCACACCTGTGAACAATTAGCCGTGTTTAGTGATTTTAGCCATAGGGCCACTGATACGGCGCACTAAAATAATGTATAAAAACCCATCCCAATTACTCTGTCAGTGATATTGCATGACTATTCGCACCATTATTGGTATGATTGTTTTATCATAAGTTCGACAAGACCCACAACTCGAGTGATCGAGTGGGAAAGAAGCGAGACTTCCATATCAGGATTAAAACACCCATGAACAAAACTCTAGCATCCTTGACCAAATTCAATCCCTAAATTCAACAGAATGGTCATCCATTCTCTTGAATTTAGGGATTGAATTTGGTCAAAATTGATTGATACTCTTACTGCTTTCTCTAATCTGTTGTAATTAACATAAAATATACAGTAATTAATTACCACAGAGAAAGTTACGATTAATGAAAACAATGTTTAATCCCAACATGAAAAAAAATTATAATTTTTTAAACTCTATTTGCCCTGTGGGCACTGAGGCCTCTTTTAGCAAGCCTATTACGGTGAGGACATAGTCCCGGGGAAGATCAACAGACTCACCATCAACTCTAATATTATAAAGTGGGAAAACAACTTAATTTTGAGGGTAAAGATAAGTTTTTATAAAAAATGTAAATGCTAATAACGAATAAAATCATCACTAATTCGGACCCTACTCGAGACGGACACACGATCCCCCTTCCCATCCCGTCTACCTTTAACCACAAAAATTTAATAACATCTATCCCCTAATACACAAACATCCCTGCAAAACATTAAATATTTTTCGACATATAGCAAAGGAGTTATTAAACTTCAAAAAGGATAAAGAAAATCGTGCCCCCCAACACTAACATTCATAAATACGAGGCAGATGTTGATCCACTAGCACACTGATCGTCTGCAGTTGAAGTTTAGTCCTTTTCGCATATTGAGAAAAGCATAGTTTTATTTAATTTATTTAATAATATTGAGAAAAGCATAGTTTTATTTAATTCTCCTTTATTACTTTAAGTAAAGAGAAATACACTATATATAAAAACAATTAAACTATATAATAAAACAAATAATCCTTCCTCTTATGATATTACATTAGTACATCTTAATTCATAAGAGTTTCAAATTCACCACGTGTTTAATTAATTACAATACAATGTTTAAGGGAAAATATTATTTATCATAACATCAAGTAAGAAGCAAAGAAAATAATAATCAATTTATTTTAATCAGAAAATTCGCCCTCCTAACGCTTCTTTACTGTGATTTCTCATGTAGTAAATTACTACGATTTGTTTTCTTCAAATATGAATCTCGAAAGAAGCAACAAAATAACCAAGCATACGACAAATACATGCAATTAAACAAAAACAGAGATGTGTTGGTCTGTTCGCAATATTTCCCGCTGTAATACATGTACGTGGCTGATAAAGTAAGAAAACAGCCCGTAAACATCTGTGCAATTTGAATTGTAGTAATTGTCATGGCAATAAACACAGGTACTTTGATTTTCATCGCCTTCATAGCGTAATAAGAATACATGAAGCTGTGTACAAAGATGTTCATCGTCATACACCAATATGTAGTGGACGCTTCATTGGAATTGAAATACCATACAAAAATCAGAGTTGCAGCATGATGATACCAATGCAAAAATATTAGCTTTTGTTTACGAAGGACAAGAAATATTGTATCTCCGAATTCAATAAGTTTTGACCATGTAAATACAGATAACCAGAATGGAAGCGGGTGATGATTTAATGCAAAGCTGATGTTGCACACGGAAAACATAAATCCGAACTCTCGAATTGATATCCACATCCCTGGAAGCAATCTTAAAGTGCCACAAATACTGAATGCCGCCAGTAGCATATTCCAGATGACAAGAGGCCAACGAAGCTGAAACGGAGGCCTGGACTTCATATAATTTTGCAAAGAAAAAATAATTATTACGTATGCCAGTGATATAGAAATAGTGTAAGGAAAAAAACTCTGAGTCCATTTATTATCAACGTATTGATGTAAATATTCTTCTATATAAAGCGATTTCAATTCTCCTCTTTGTGTAGAATAATTTTCGATCGTCTCCATATTTTACTGAAAAAATAGAAATAATGCATAATTATTTACAGTTTAATTTAATTCGCGCATATGATTTATTTATAAATAATGCACATCTCTTCACATAATCCCCTAAATTTTTGTCGGGGATGGTCCGACCGGATATTCCGTCTTCCTTCTCACATCACCTCTGCCACTCCATTGTGGGTCTGGCCGAACCCATAATGGGCTTGCTCAAACAGCCCCTCTTACTCAAGTGTTATAACGTACATATTTTATTATTATAATCTGTTTGACTGGGTGGAACACATAGATATCTTCCAAAAGACATTCATTCCGATAAGAGTTTATATGGGAAACAGGTTTACTGATTTCAAATATCTGACAGACGTGTTATTCTCGAAATAATTTTACGTATAACATAGGTTGTACAGGGGCGAAGGTTTTTACGCTAGTCGAGTCTCGATAGTAAAACTTTTCCTCCTAGATTGCTCGTGTTTCTGATTGTACAGTAGATAAAACTTCACGTATATTTTCCACGAATCAGATAATTCAAGGTTTATTAGTAAAATGCACACTTTTTAATAAATATATTTTATTTCCTGACTATTTATTGTGAATCATCTACAGTAGACCCCCGTAACACTGCAGATAATTCCGTGTTATAGGAATTCTATGTTGTACGAGTCACTTAGATTTTACAAATACGTGAGCCGTTCACAGCCCGGCACACGTATTTGTAAAATCTAAGTAACTCGTACAAGATGGAATTCATATAACACGGAATTATCTACAATGTTACAGGGGGTTTTACTGTATATGACTTTTAATAATTTTATTTGAAAGAACTGTTGTTTGCTTAAAGTATTCACATTTTAAACTAGTAAACTTTGTAAACTAATTCTAAAACTATAAATTAAATATAAATGTTTGCATATGTAAATATTTATGTTTAATTTATGTAAATTTAAAATTATATAACTAAATGTAAATTAAACATAAATACAGGGTGGTTATAATTAAAGTTGCGCTATTTAGACCTGTCTAGAGCCCGTTCTCGTGGACGTATTTTGATAAAACTTGGAATATATCTTATACGGACCATAGGGAAAAGGAAAAATGCAAAAAAAACATTTAGTTCAAATTTTTATCACTAGGTGAAAAAATGGCGCATAAAGAAGAAGAAACACGCAAATGGTTTTTATTCACATTTATTCAATGTGCAATCCATTAATTATTTAAATAAATAAAATTAGAATCTTTTCACACGTAAAAATCTTTAAATATAAATAATATAAAAGGAAAGATTCGGATAAAATTTATATGTAAATCACGATCCACGCTTAAATATTTTATTGTGAAAGAACTGTGTGAATAATGATTTATGCATGAGGAAAGTAAATTCTAATGATATCCATCTATCCTCTTATCTATAAACAATACAATAGATGAAGGTAAGCATCATTATATTTAAACTTATTTTTTAAACTTTAACAATATTTAAGTAAATATATTATCTTTTTAGAACGATAACTTAATAGAATCTTGTAAAAATAAATTTATAAGATGCTATTGAACAATTCTGCCGTTATAAATTATTATTGTTTACTTTAATTGTAACTTCCTTTCTGGTAATTAATTAGTACTGTATATTTTATGTTAATTGCGAGGGTCTGAAGGGAACAGATTAAATTATTTAAACTAATACGCATTTAATAAATAAGTGGAAAAACCCTACTTCCTTTCCCCCACCACTCGCGATACTCGGATAGATAAAACTGTCACTATAATGTTTGGACTTATGTTACAACCTTAATCAAGACAGTCGATTATTAATGAATAGAAACTGTCATAAGTATGAAATTATGAGGTAAAGGGAGTCACCAAAACGGCTAGAAAGTAGCAATAATTCTGCCCAATCGTCCGGTTCTTCACAGCTCGTATCCATCGTTTTGTCTAACTGGTGTTGATATCAGTTATTGCTCGGAACCGATTCACTCTATCGATTTATCCGCAACTTCCCCACTCGACTATTCGAAGACCCTCTTATTAAATCATTTAGTGTTACCCAGTGAGACTCGACGGCTATCTTGAGACTCGACGGCTAGAAGTCTAACCCTCAATTGTATTCTCACATACAGTAGAGCCTCGATTATCCGACCCCCGATTAACCGACACCTCGGTTAACCGACCGTCCTAGTCGGCAGATTTGAAATGTCCGCTAGTGATGTGGCGCTACAATATTTGGCTATGTCTTGGCTACTTTAATATTATTTTTACGTGTTTTAGCTGGCAACACTCATTCGACCATGAAAGGGAGCCAGTATTTAAATGAGGCTTAATTTTCTAATAGCGATATACTAATATACTAATTACATGGGATATAATAATATACTACACTAATAATGGATTTTTTCATACTTTTCGGTTATCCGACT